GGAGGAAGTGTGCTGGACGAGTTGTCCGAACCCCTGACCGCAGTAAACGCCCCAATTGCAAGTGCTGGTAATGCTAGTAATTGCAATTGGGCACAATAATGAATCGTAAAAAAGGACCTAGTTCAAAGACTCCGTGTAGTCCCAAAACTCACGAATGCCGCCGCAGCCAATCACGGCTGGCAAGGGGGCGGTCCTGGGGAATTTCCAACCACACCCATTTTTGAGGACTTTACGCCCTTTTTGCGAGTTTCTGAGGTGAGTTCTTTAATATTTCCACTTCATATGTTCTCACTAGGGCTAGTGTATCCTTCAATAGTAATAGCATTGAAAGTAACAGACCCTGCCTGGACTGTTGCTTTTAATATTTACAACATTACTAAAGAATGAAAGACGTGGAGAATTAGTTCAGAACGGTACTTTCACATCATTGCCGAATATAGTGAATCTTGTCTGCAAAATTTCATGGGGTATCCTCATGGATCGGCTGAAGTCGAAGAAGATCATAACGCCAACATTTGCCGTTCGCATTTCGCAAAGTGTCGGTGAGTTTTTTTTCGCTTTGCTCCTTGAAGGATTTCCTTTCACTTTCATTTTCGCGAATAAAACATGATTTATTGTATTTTGTTCCCACTACGAGTGTAAGTTTTTATAAGATCTTTGGCTGGAAATATGATGAAAACCTTTACATACAAACACTTATGGAATAACAATATGGGATTTGCCAAGAGCGTGAAAAATTCTATCTACTATGTTCTGTGGAATCTTTATTTAAGCGGCTCCTACGCCACCAAGCCTACTGTAGGCTACTTCTAGATGGCACAGTGACAATGCGACAGTGCGATGTCAATGTGTAATTCTCTTTTTCGCGTGCACGGGGAAATTTTTATCATTTGTAGTAGAAAAAAGGATAAAGGATAAAGCATTTGCCGTTGATCAATCCCTTTTTGGGATGCGGCACGCATTCTACTTCCATTTGTACATTCGTAGTGGCGTTTGAATGCGATGTGGCCTATACAATGACTTGCGGGGGCCAGCCGATGTACAAGTCAGTGTTTTTATCCTCCCAGACAAGTCTGGTACCAAAAGACCCGGAAGGCTTGGTTGGCCCGGGCGACTCACGACCCAGGATTTGATCCTTGACCCTTGCGTGGTGAGTGTCCATTTGCCTACACACTTACACTCGTCATTTCTTAGCGATAAGATAAATGCCGATATAGTGATAATTTTGGTGCACGCCGCAGGAAGGTTACATCCCGTATCGAGCCGCATTGTCCCACGTGACAAAAAAAAGCTTCCTCATGTCGAGCCGCAATGCAGCCAGTGGATTACACCATTAGTCAAAAAATGTTCACCACCGCAAACCTCGACTTCAACAATTTTTATAATGAGTTTTCGTGAATTCTAACACAAGGTGGAAGATATAGGAGTAGGCTCAAAGCTCCTGAATAAGTCCCGTTTGGTGGGGAGCGGGAAAAACACTGCCTCACCTGCTTACTGAAGGCAATTCTGCCTCAGTTCTCTTCAAACCCTGAGTTGCCTTGGAGTCGTTGAAAGTCGCTGAAGAAGTCAATGTATCCCATCAGACTCTGGGATACATTGACTTCTTCAGCGAAAGACAGTAAAGTGTATGCTCCATGTCGGTCTTCTTGAAACCTGGGCATTCCGATTGTGTCTTGCTTCTGTTTAGCCTTCCAGGTTTGTTATGGTGGAACACTTTATTGGTCGACGTTTCGAACAAATCGTCGTTTTCAAGACCTAAAAATTGGTTCGAAGCTCTAGTTGTAGCCTATCCGCTCACACCCCACTAGTACCAAATGTTACGCTTCTCAGTAATCTCAAACCAAGATAAGCTCCAGCTCAAACTTGGTTGAGCTGGAGCCATCTATATAGCCCTTCATCTGCATGAATTCGATTCCGGACTAGTTAATCGAATCATGGTCACTTTTGAAATTAATCGAAACCATAAGTGCAAAGTTCGCTGTGACTATGACGATAGCTAAGCTTTTCCTGCCAAGTTATTCGTATCGGGCTACACTGAGACAAAACGGGTTTCAAGGTTAAGAAAATGACAAGAGATGAATAAAAAGTCCATCAGGTGTTCGGTAACAATTTCCACCCCTTTCCTTTTCCATTTCCTGTACCATCATTATTTCAAACAAAACAACTTTAGCAAGCTTCGGGAGCGCTTTGGCCTTCTTCATGGTAGCGCTGTTCGTTGACTGTTCGACACCATTCTTGGCACTTGTACTGTTTTGTTTCATGTCAGTTCTAAACTTAATTTTCACTCGATTCCTGCACTGATGTCAAGTATAGTTTTTTATACCATTTTCGTTTCACTACCCTTTAGGTATGGAAGTATGGGCGGATTCTCTAGTGGATTCTACACTTCACTGCTCTCATTGGCACCTCGATATACCAGCACCATGTCAGCGATATCGGTGTTTGTAGGAGTGCTGGCACGATTGTCCACTCCTCCATTGGTCGAATTTATTATGAAAACGGTTTGTTTCCTTTATTCCCTCATTGAACCAAACTGGGTCCTTAAATCCGGTTTTTATACCTGAACAAATTGCACAGCTCATTTTAGAGTGGCCAAAAGATGGTGCATCGCTGCTAGCCGTTCCTTACCCTACACCCAGTCCCATCTCGCTCAATGACACATTGGAGAAGTCATTAGCGATCGGGAAGGACAGTATGGAGTAGGTCCATGCGTCGTCCTGGGGGTTATTCGTTTTGGGACCACAGGTCGCTTATGCCCTGTGAGAAGGGTAAAGGAAATTCCTTCAAATTGTGCCCTTTCATGAAATATTTTCTTTGATTTCACCACTTTACTCCTCACTCACATACTACAGGATGCGCCAAAATTACGGCGACAGCGATTTCGAGTCGCCTAGAATGAACACGCCACAATTCCAAGAAGCCAAAAATGCAGTAACGTTCACTGTTCAATAATGAATCGTAAACATCTGCCAAATCTCAGAAATTCCTTCGTTGGCACTTATACGGGCCTTGAGAAGCAGTGAGGAACCATCGACGGTGGCACGCAAGGTGGTGCGTGGAACCCGTCCTACGTATTCTGAAGCAATTCTTCAAAATAATCCCCAAAATGTGAAGTAAATGCAAGATTTAGCATAGAATCGATCTCACAATGTAACCTATCGAAGAGCTGACTGTTAGCTGTTGAAAGAGCTGAGGACGACAAAATTGGCCCTGCACCCAACCTCCACCACTCACTGCCTTAAAAGTGGGAGTCCCGTTTCTGCTGGAAAGTGCAGGATCATCTTTCAAAGCTTAGAATGGCAAGTTTCCTTGATCTCTATCTCTCGCTACATTCAGCGAACCGAGGGCGCCAAGTGCCTACAAATTCTATCGCGCCATGCTACGATTCCAGGTGGTCGTCACAGAAACACACTCTCCTCATCTAGACAACTGTATCTTTCTTCATTCTTGAAGACGCTTAGTGGATTTTTGGAGGGTATTCTGGTTGATATACAAAACGCTGATAATTGGTGCAGACAACTATTCAATTGAGTCGAAATGATTGGGAAACCTAACCAGGAAGTACCCTCAGCCATCGTAACAATCATAAATTATGCTGGTCAAACAAAATAAGTATGAAAAGGCCAACGCAACAAAGCCAAAGTGAGCAGAAATAAGTGCTCCTGTTGAGTAGTCGTATTAATTTGCGCGCACCTAGCTACATTCCTTAAAAATGCCCTTTCTTCGAGTTTTTGGAGCTTTACCTGGTTGGAAAACAAGAAAATAAGTAGGTTTCCCGCTACCTACCCAAAGAGAAATAAATCCAGCTCCCTGGAGTACCGGATAGCTTCAGCCCTCCTTGCACCCTTGCGACCTCTGAGGATTGTGAGGTGCCATGAGGCCCACAGCATGACTGTCGTGGAGAACTGAAGGACATTTCTAATTTAGCGCAAGTGTACACCTTAGCTCATATGGGTGAAGCTTAGCAACTCACTTTGTGTATCATTGATTTCACCGAGTGGACTTGAAAACTCGACATTCGGTCATTTCCACTTTTTCTTTTGGAGTTGTGGCTTTTATACAGCGGTTTCTGTGATGAAGAGATTATAAAGACACTAAAAAGTAGCTTTGAGGGGGAGCCTTTCATGTAGTGGCTTCCCACACCGCATACAAACATGGGCAGGTATACCAAGAATGATGCCTTTATGACAAGTACCATGCGCGACGCCATCTGCAACAGCAGTGCGATCACCGCCTCTTGACTTTTTTTGAATTTTGTTCTCACTCTCCCTCATCCCGGACCCACTAGCACTCCCCATACCAAACTTTGATTTTTTGGGAAATATAAACAAATATTATATTTATCAGATAAGAATTCAATAGTAAAGGTCCTTGAACATGGAGGGACAAGGGTGAAATTTCAGGTGCGTTAAGAGGGTGACGACGGTCATAGAATTCTCTATCGAATTTAAACCCTGCTCTTCACCGAACACCTAGGACACATATCCCCTTCCTTTTTTCAGGGCACACTGGCGGAATGGCAGATTCTCTTTTGTATTATTGCTATTTCTAACGTCTTCGCCGGAATTATATTCGCCATATTCGGTTCAGGTTTGAATTGTGATCATCACTGCTTCTCCTCAACTGCCTAATAATCAGTGAACCAAGTGTAATGTCAAGAAAGTACTAGGTTCCCTTAGTTTTTGACATCTTAGAACCCTTAAAGGCCTACCCCAGGATCACATTGGTGTGGCCCATGTGCACGAATGTGGTTGTACTGGTGGGAAGTGGCCGGCAGTAAAGAAAAAAGGAAAAGAATCCGTCAAAAACGCTTAGGTTAAGGGCTCACTCACCTTCCTGATCGGCTGTGCTAAGGGAATGAGAGACTAAGCGCGGAGAGGAGAGTATGAGGCGAGAGAGCGCTACAGATGAGAGAGCGCCAGACAACAGCCTGATAAGAAAAAAGTCTGCAGCTTGGGCAGCTTACTTTGCAAGGCCCTAAGCGCTCTTATCGGTCGGTTTCCGTGCACGAGGACGCCACATCTGTGATTGTCCTCTAGGGTTCTATACTAGTGACCGAAGAGAAGCGTTCACACGAACTCTGCCTGGGTTTGTGCCTTTAACTAACGGAATTCAGATCGTGAATGATATTCTATGGATATTTTCTTGTTATGGCGCTCGAACTAAACCAGTTTTTCTTGGAATTAGGTGTTATTTATTATCATCAATATAACAATTTCCTTTTTCAGGAGACGTCCAAGCTTGGGGTCTCGACGATGAGCAAGAAAAGACGAAAGCTCCAGAGAAGCTGGACGAGCTCGCACTCATCGAAAGCAAGAGGACCGATTCTATTTGTGTTGGAATTTAACCTGTTAGGAATGACAAGTAGATACGTACGGGCAGTTTCCAACCTCTGGTGGTGATAAGCGGAGCACTTGGATGTGCAGTCCCACCACCTGCTTATACTCCATAAATTTTATCCCTTTGTTAATTTTTGTCAGGGTTCAAGTAGTCTGATATGCAACGCGGGTTTTCTAGCTGGATAGAAACTAATAATGTAATTTTAACGCGAGAAAAGGGGATGCAGCGCCCATCTGCTGAGGAAGGGAAGGCGAGGGGGGGACGAAAAGAGGTTTTTTGCTCATGGCGCATTTCAACAAATTTTTCGCTGTAAATAGTGTCGCCGTTGATGAAGATCTTACCTCATAATGTTACTATCATGTTTATTATCAGTGGCAAATACACAACCACACATCACCTCTGGTTAGGTTTTCCTTTTATTGTGATAAATATTTATATGAAGATTGTAGTGAGATGAATAAAACACTCCATGGATGGCAAGGCATATGCCTTTGATGAAATGACCAGGGAAAAAATACTTTGGCGTCAATTGCAGCGTAGGTTGATAATTTCACTCTTTCATTGTCATTTTGCGCTGTTTTTGAACGAAATCTACCTAAATGTGTATTAAACAATGTGAGACTTCAAAATTTATTGCAAAAGACTCAAAACTTTCTACAAAAGAGATTGCAAAAATGAGTGTTTGCAAAAGTTTTGCAAAAGTTTAAGCCTTTTTTGGCGAGCTTTCGGCGCTTAGCGCCTTTGTCGAGCCTGAAATGAAAATTATAAGCTTTCTTAAAGTCTGTTAATATATTAAAATATATTAACTGACCCACCTGCTGTCCACTTTCAAAAGTGTAACACTTACCACCCTTGTCGGTCTGTGAAGCAGGAACTGTTCCCTACCCTAGACTTACCCTTAAATAGCGTTGACGTGCTACGACCGTTATTTCCCAAAATATCGCATTCATTCCACAGTGATGATAACTGCAGTCATGCGATGAGTTGAAGAGAGTCACGTAACTCGTCTCTGCTATTTATTTCCGGGGCTAGTCTTTTTATTTCCAGAGCCTCCAGTATTTTGCGTTCCACTGTGTTTTCAACGGAACGGTGTAGGACTTTTACGTTGAGGGTGGGTGGATCCCCTTGGGCATGTTGTTGGGTTCTATGTTTGGAGAAGCTGTTACCTGGATATGAGGCCGGATTTTGTAGAGCCCTCCGATGTTCATCGAGTCGTTTGTGGAGAGGTCTTCTTGTTTC